GGAAGTGATCGTGCCCCTGTACTCGGTGCTGGTGAGGCCGCACCTTGAATAGTGTGTTCAGTTTTGGGCCCCTCACTACAAGAAAGATGTTGCGTTGCTGGAACATGTCCAGAGGAGAGCCACAAAACTGGTGAGGGGTCTGGAGCACAAGTCTTACGAGAAGCGGCTGAGGGAACTGGGGTTGTTTGGTCTGGAGAAGAGGAGGCTGAGGGGAGACCTGATCGCCCTCTACAACTGCCTGAAAGGAGGCTGTAGTGAGGTGGGGGTCGGCCTCTTCTCCCTGGTAACAGATGATAGGACGAGGGGGAATGGTTTGAAGCTGCACCAGGGCAGGTTTAGGCTAGACATTAGGAAAAACTTCTTCACCGAAAGGGTTGTCAGGCTCTGGAATGGGCTGCCCAGGGAGGTGGTCGAGTCCTCCTCCCTGGAGGTATTTAAAAGAAGGATAGATGAGGTGCTTAGGGACATGGTTTAGTGGTGGGATGTCAGGGTTAGGTTAAAGGTTGGACTCGATGATCTTAAAGGTCTTTTCCAATCAAAGTGATTCTATGATTCTATGATTCTAATACAGAAAGTGAAAAAGCAAATAGCTTTCTATGGCATCATCAAAATGTTTTCTCTTTGCTTCGTAACAGCTGTCACTTGAACGAGAACTCTACCATTCAGCTGTCCCACAGCTCTCTTGGTAATCAGTGGGATTCAGCATGCAATAGCTAATTGCAAAATCTAGTGCAGAAAAGATAAGGTTAGTATTTTAAAATATAAGGACCCCATATTTCAATGGCTAAAACCATTGAGACATCCTGAGGTCAGAGAGAAACCCATAGAGAAATGTATCCTCAACTAACCAGCATCGTTACATGTCTGCCAATGACAATAATGAGCAGGTGGATAAGCATGAGCTCAGAACTTTCTCCATAAACATCCAAAAGAAACTGATAATACAAAAGAACTCAATGAGAATCAGAAGAGAAATTAAAGGAAAAACGAGGGCAGACGTGGAAGGAGTACAATCAGTGTATGTTTTCTCTACATCAGAAACATTCTGCAGTTTGGCCTATTTTGTTGCAAAGCCATCACAGGAACAATGTTATTGCAGAACTAAACCAATGTGCCCAAATGAGTCAAGAAGCTTCCCAGAGCCTGAATCCTATTCATTTTCACTCAAGTCAGCATTATTAGCTGGACACAGTATTCATCCAAATTGTTTTTTAAAAGAGCATTAAACATAAAACAGCTAAATGAAGTATTAACAAGATACTTACTAGTCCCAGATTTAGAAGTTTTGAAACGATCTTGTCAAACACTCCTCTATCATTTTCTTCATAAATTCTTGCAGCAATTTTTTGAACAATGTCTTCAGCAGTCAAAGGAGTGCCATCTAATTGATGGAGGCCATCTGGATCATCTAAAAGGATTACAGTTTAACTGTGTGCTGACTGTCCTGACTCATGTGGATTAGACATCTTGTAAAAAATATCTGCCCACATCTTTTTCTCTTCAGAACAAAGCTGCACTTTTTAGACACATTAGGAATATACTTTGATACACACTTTGGAACCCACTACATCAGTCCCAATGAAAAGTCCTTCATGTCCATTTTCCACATATGTCTTTCTGACTGTTGCTTTTGAAAGAGCAGAGATGAATGTTAGGAGCATACTCTCCTGTTTATAGAAAAATTTGTAAGAACGAGAGAACACTGCTCACATATCCGCTTATATGCATCTTCCTGGTATCTACTTTCATTGTATGGCCACTTAGATCAAAACAGATCATGACAAACAGCATGCTGTCTTCTTGTTTGGATTTCAGCAAATGAAGTTTTAATTACATAATCATTACTTATGACACATAATATCATCATGACCAATAGGAAAGTGAATATAACGAGTAAGCTTTGGTCTGTTATCAGCACAGTTTGATATAATTAAAAATATCCTGAGCTAAATGCTGCTCACAACTCTCAGAAGACTCACTTGAACTACAAGTCAATTAACTACTCCTGTAGTAAAGGCAAGTATTCTTTGGGCTTTGGTAACTTCTTTTAGCTTTGTGATGAGGAGAATTATCTAACATTGCACGTACCATTTGGAACAAATAGATGTGATTTAGCTCTATATAAAAGTGCTTCTTCCTTTCAAATCAGAATAAATATACTTTCATTTAAAAGTATGTCCCATTTTCTTTCCATCAAATCTAAATTGCTAAAAAACATAATGCAAATTACAGAGTTGGATTTTCAAGACTGTACAAATCAATAGCAATTCTTTTGTATTGTGTTTCAAAAGCAAACTGTAATACAACAAGCTTCTACAACTGGAAATAATTGAAATTGCACTCCAGTAACAAAAAGACCTCATATTTAGTGGTGAATACAACATTCATGATTGCAATCAGTTTGCAAGAGAAGTCTAACCTAAAAGTCACTGCAAGATGATTACTGAATACCTTGGAATTTATAATCCACTCCACTTTTAGTGGAGTCATAGTCATCCACAAGCCTGCGGTTCTTGGTGGAGTCTGCATCATCAATGGCCAGTTGCTGTTCATACAAAGAGCTTCTAATTGACTCCCTCTCCTTTTCATTCCTCTCTCTTTCTGCTACTGATTTTAGCAGGTTCAGGTCATCAGCAAAGGAATAATTCCTGAACTCTGGCTTATTTTCTGGAAAATAAATCAACGCATACATGACATAAAAGCTTGTACCTCTTTGAATACCATTATGAATATTGCCATAAAACCAGGAAAGATGTTTTACCTGTGGGAGCTATTTTCCTATTCTTGTCTGCCTCAGCTTCAGCAATCTGATATACAAAAATAAAACAGAGAAACAAAACAACAATCAGGCAGAAGGAATAAATACACTAAAATCTGGGATCTCATAATTCATCAATATCAGCAGAAGCCTTAATGCCTGATCTTCACTCTTAGTAAGAAGTTTGCCTTAATAAGTAGAACATGATTAAGCGCCTGGCACTTTTTGTCAGGACCACCGCATCCTGAATCAGACATTATGAGAAGCTGCAATAGACTTTCCATTTTGAGATAAATGCCAGTTCCATTTTCCTTCCTCAACCCAAGCTCCTGGTATATTGCTGTAGGATGTCGATACAAAGGGGTTACACCTGTGAGCTGTTGGAGCTAACAACCTGCTTTTGGAATGCTGGACAGTAAAACTCTCTATGCCAATTCTTAAAAATGGTTGAAACTCTATTTTGTACCTAACCCCATCAATATTTACTTTACTGACAAATCTATTTTTAATTCATTTGTTAAGCTATTAGGTTATTAATGGATCTGGTACCTGACAGCTCAAAATATTGTAAGAATACCAAAACAAAAAAAACCCCACTGTAAATATTTTTTATTTCACTTACCTGTTCCTCTAAAGGTCTTTCTACACTTAACTGTCTGTTGTGTATAGCTTTATCTAGAATAAACAAACACACACATATACACTCAGTTATATGATGCATGCGACTACAAAGAGACAGAACATTTTTTCTTAATTTATAGTTTTCTCCCATAAAGCATGGTGTCTTAAATATGATGCCAACTGCTAGTTCTTGTAAAAAAATTCAGTGTTCCTAGAAGAATGAGAATACATTTTAAAAGTCAAACATTTAAACAAAGCATGATTGTTTGGGGCAGAGGGAGAGGTTCTGCAAAAGGTGTAATAGAAATACAGATGTAGAGTCAGTAACCCCTTTCTGATGAGAAAACTCGTAAACAAATTGGAGAAAAAATGCCATAAGAGATAGACTAAAATAGCAATAATCGGATTGTCACAACCAAGAGATTAAAAATCTCTTACATCCAGAATACCAGGGGAGACACAGAGCGAGCGAGCGAGCGACTTGTGCAGAAACTGCTGCAGAATGGATGAAATCATTGCTTGGAAAAGACTGCAAAAATTCAGAGCTTTTCCCTCTACCAGCACCTATCTCTTCACTCAATATTAGATTGCAACTTCTGTGATCCAGCGCCTTGCGCCAGGAACATCGTTTCTTTAGGATCTAATTGCCTTTAGGCAAGCGGAAGGAAAGTTTTCTCTTTCCCCTACCTACACCCTGCAAAACTTTCCCCACTTGGGAGAAAATGGAGACAACGCGTTAGCGAAGGTGCCTACCTTTGCCCCCGGGTTTCGGGAAGCCGTGCACCCGGCTTGCCAGCAGCAACAGCACCTGCAC